CCCTCCCTCCCTCCCTCCCTTCTCTCTCTCTCTCTCTCTCTCTCTCTCTCTCTCTCTCTCTCTCTCTCTCTTTCTTTCTTTTTTTCTGAGACAGAGCTGTCACTAGCTTAGAACTTAAACTCACCAAGTAGTCCATACTGGCTGGTTAGCAAGTCCCGGGGATCTGCCTATCTCTGCCTCCCCAGTGTTGGGGTTACAAGTGTGCACCATTACTTCTGGCTTTGCTTTTCTTCCTTCCTTCCTTCCTTCCTTCCTTCCTTCCTTCCTTCCTTTCTCTTTCTCTTTATTTCTTTTTCTTCTTCTTTTTTAATCTTTGGCCCTCAAGCACTTTACAGATTTAGCTATCACCAAAACTCTCAAGACCGAGTCTTAAATTTTTACATAGAGAAATAACCAGGGTAGCCAATACAGTGTTTAGGAACTATGTAAGATTGCTTGATAACACTAGTCTTCTAGAATTAAGCTAAAACTGCAGTCATCAAGACAGTATGATATGGCCAGGTGGTGATGGTGATCCCAGCACTCGGGAGGCAGAGGCAGGCAGATCTCTGTGAGTTCGAGGCCAGCCTGGGCTACAGAATGAGATCCAGGACAGGTACCAAAACTACACAGAGAAACCCTGTCTTGAAAAACCAAAAAACAAAAAAACAAAAACCAAAAAAACAAAAACAAAAAAAAATACCCCCAAAACAAAACAAAACAAAAACAAAACCCCAGAGACTGTGATACATATGAAAGAACAGATAGGCCAATGGAACAGAATGGAGAGTCCAGAAATAGTAGTTACACATCTTGTCAAATTATTCTTTGGTAAAACAACAAGATAATACAATGGAGAAAATAATGTTTGCAATAAATGGTGCTAAAGTGGACACACATGTATACAGCTATTTTACAATTCTTGGAAAAACTCTCTCAGTACTGATAACAGCAAATGCTTGAACAGACCAGAGCAACAGAGCAAAAATTCCTTGTCAACTGGAATGAGAAACTGTGTGGTAAACTTAGCAGTTTGGCTAGGTTTCTCTTGTTTGTTTTGCAGTGCTGGGGACCGCACCTCTGGTCTCATGAATCCTAGGAATGCATCCCATGGCTAAGCTATGTTCTCAGGCAGGTAGTCTCTTACAAAACCTAACATAGCTACCATGCCACAATTCAGCAAGAGCATCCTCAGCACTTACTCAGAGGAACTGAAAACTTACATCCACACAAAAACCCACACACTTGCACACAGATATTTATAACAATATTTATTCATAATTTCCCCAACTGGGAAGCAACCAAGATTTTCTTCAGCAAGGGAAATGGGAAAAAACAACAGTGGAACATCAAGTGAATACAATTTTATCCAGTGCTAAAAATAAATGAGTTATCAGGCCATGAAAAGACATGTGGGAAACATACATACACATTACTATGTCAAATATGCCAACCAGAAAGGTTATATCCCGTATGAATCGATGAAACAGTCTATGTACATAATTATGGAAACAGTTGTGGATCCTTGGTTCCCAGAGATTTGGAAGAAGGAATGATAAGATAGAGTGAAATGATTTATTTTTTTAAAGACAGTGATTATCATAGTGGACACAGGAAATATTTGCCCAGACCTAAGGGCTGCACATGACCAAGACCAAACGCTAAAGCGGACAGAGTTGGAGCGATAATGACTTCGTGACATAAATTCACCAATTACAAGAGACGGCCATGTGGGGTGTGACGATGGCAATGGAGAGGCTGGCTACGTGGATTCACAGAGTTTGCCTGAAACCTCTCTGTATTTCCCATGCCAGTTTATGGAAAACCCAAAACTGTCCTAGAACACCTGCTGTAAGCAAGCAAACATCACAAACAAAATAAAACAGAACGACAGGAATGTAGGCGTGGGACTATTTGGGGGAAAGTTGTTGAATGGGGAGGAGAATGAGTGGGCAATAGGGGACGCAGAAGAATACAGTCTCCAAAATACATTCCTATGAATGTATGGAACTTTTGAGAAAGAAAACTACAGAACAAAAGATGTTAGGCATTTGATGAACTTAAAAAAGAGATTATATAATATTTTAGCAAACAGATCTCATATATACATTAATTTTTAAAGGACAGTGCTATTTTTCAAACTGACAGATGCAACCACAGAATCTCCAATACAACTTACTGTGAATGTCTGGAGATCAAGTTCTATTAACACACGCTGGAACCAATGGTAAGGATGAAGTCCATGGAGTTTTGAATCAACATCTTTACTTTTGCTCAAGGAAAAATGTCAACAGAGATTAGTGCTTTGAGATTTAATCCATGTCTATGCCTTCTCTCTTTCTAATGAGAGGGGTGCTTTTTCATGCGGACTAGTTCCAAACAAATGCTAACAGGTGTAAGTGCATGGTGAGGTATTCCAGATCTGGGCTTCCTCCTCAAGAAGCAAGAAATGGCCAAGAAAACTAAATTGCCTTCAGGTAAAGGATGTTGAAGGCCATGTTACAGAATCAGGTAGCTTTAAGGCCCCTGCTGGCAGACAAACCTGGGTCTAGCTTTGGAGACCTTGCCTCTCTGCATGTGCTTAGGTCCGTCGATGGCTGTGCCTTCGATGGGATCTGTGTGGCTCTCTGTGGTGTCGGGAAGGGTAAGGGGAAGACTCTCTGTTTTGGTGATGGGTATAGATTCTGCGGATGGGGCCGGGCCTCGGTTCACGATCTGCAGAGTCGCTTTCCCTGCCACACCCATACCTGTGCCTCCGGGAATCTCTGTGGAACGGCCGCTGCTGGGAGGATGGAGAGGGCCTGGGGTCGTCTCTGCGGCTCAGCAGGTATCCGGTGTGAGAGGATGCTCTCCAGGAGCTGTGGCGGTGGCGGTGGTACCTGGGAGAGGAAGAACGCCGGGACACGGGGGGTTCGCGCTGCTCCCATCTACGGTGGTCTCGAGGCTGCCTTCTCTCTGCCCTTCTGTCTGCCCGGTCTGGCTGTCCTTCGGCTGGCACGTCCCTGATCCACCTGCCCACGGAGTTGTGCGCGGGGAGGACCACGCCCCAGGCGTCGGCCACGTGCGCCAGCAGCAGCTGCGTGAGGTAGCGGTGGGCACGCTCGTCCCAGTGCACGCCGTCACTCAGCCGGTGCTGCCCCGCGTGGCGGAAGTGGAAATGGAGGTCGAGCACGTCGAAGCCACGCCTCACCGCCTCGGCCGAGCTGTAGAAGTTGGCCTCGATCACATCTTCCCGCATGCGTGATGGGCAGGGGGGCGCATCAGGCAGCACGAAGCCCCCGGATATGACCTCGGCCACGGGCATGGTGGTATTCCACACCAGGAGGCAGGAGGCTGGCAGCACCTGATCCAGCCGTCGGAACAGCCTCTCCAGGTCCTCTCGGTAGCTCCTGCGGAAGTTGTGCCCGTACCTGGACAGGTCCCAGAGGCACGAGTTCATGACTACCAGGTCCGGGGCGTAGTCGCCCCAACGCAGCTGCTGCAGGATGTCCTCGACGTAAGGCGAGTAGACGCGCGTGAGGAAGTAGAAGCGCACCAGATGGTGGCCCGAGCAGAACTGGCGCACCTCGCGGTAGTGGGTCCCGTTGTGCATGGGTCCCCACCTCCCGCCCTCCAGGAGCACGTCGTGTTCGAAGCTCAGCTCACCCTTGCTCTTCAGCTGGCTGGAAGACAGCAGGCAGTCCTTCTGGAGCAGGAGCACCAGGTCCTTGTACACGGCGCGCTGGATGGAGTCCCCCAGAATGACGACGAACTTGTTATGCAGCAGCTGCTGGACTTCGTGAGCTCGGAGGTGGGGCATGATGATGGCTTTCTCAAGGAAGTCTCGGACGGAGCTCCTCCGGGAGAAGAAGCTGGGAAGCTCACGGAAGGGCGCTGGGTGCGGTCTCCGGGTGGCGGTGGGGCGAAGGAGAGCGAGCTCGGACTCCTGTGGCCAGAGGCTGCCTCAGCCGGTTTGCCACAGCCCACGGCGTGACCTCTGAACCCTGGAAAGTATTGCGTGAGTCCAGGCTCCACCTGGTGGAGGAGAGGTGCACCACTCCAACCAGGAAACCTTGACCCCCGCCAGCTTGGATAGTAGAGGTGGATGTTTCAGGAGTGTCCCCAGCGCCTTCTGGATTGCCCTGAGGATGCTCACTTTTGCTGTTTTCTTTACCGCGATCCTCACTTTAGTTGCTATTTTTTCTTTATGATTCCACTGTGGGGAGAGTCCGTCCTGGAGTGTAGAGCCCAGCCCGGCAGTCACTGATCTGCTGCCATGACCCCACAAGCCACGATCGGATCGGCAGAACACACGGTGCGTTGTAAGAAAATAGAGATTCACCACGTACCTTTTACCAGCTTTCCCGTAACCATGAAACCTTTGAGGACTATGGTATCTTTGTACCGAGGCATACAGGCTGTTTCCTCCCTTCGCGATTCGTTTGTGCCTCCGTTACCTTCTGTCTCCTTCGCTGTCTCATTCCCTAACTCCTGGTAACCACCTAAGCCAATCTTCACTTGCACAATTTATCATTTCAGGAATTCCATGCGGGTGGGATTGAACAGTGTGTGACCTTGAGGCATCCCCCCCTCCTCACCCCCCGCATTGCCCTCTGGATTTGTGAGTTTTCTAAAGTCTGTACATGTTTTCTGAACTTGGAAGTGAGAGTACTGGTGATGGGAATGTCGGTGTTTTGTTCTTTTTTCTTACCACTCCCAGAAAAGCCATCCATTGAAAGGACAACTGGGTTGTTTGCCCGTTTTGTCTGTCACTAAAGGGCACTGGTGAGCATCCTGTGCCGGTTTTGAGTCGGTCTGCATTTTCTTTGTTTGAAATAAGCCCAATCTTGTAAGGCTGTAGGATGGTTGTACAGCTGACGCCTTAAGAAATGTCCTTGCTTATCTGGTAAAGCTCATGTGATACAGTCCTAACATTCAGAAGGAAGAGACGAGGGGGTAGTGAGTTTGGGGCCAGCCTGGGCTACTTAACACATTGTGAGACTTCGTATCAAAAGAGTAAGAAAAACAAAAATCTCAAATTGTTTCAAGTTGTTTTCTGGAGTGACAGGACCCATTCTCATTGGTGTGAATAATGTTTTTTTTTTTTTTTTTTTTTTTTTTTTTTTGTGAATAACATTTTAAAATTCTTTTTGGGTTGTTATATGCATAGCCTGAATATGTGAAGCCCCAAATCTTTCATATACTCTCTCAAGCAGGTCTAACCCCAGGGAGGAAAAAAAAAAAAAAAGACCTACTTTTTCTTCCCTGGGTGCCCTTGTAGATGCTATTAAGCCCCATGGAATTTGCTTTGAATTTCCCTAGTCACTGGGTTATCGTCGACCCTTTAACAGATGTTTGGGAAACCCAGTGGGTTGTGTTTCATTTGGGAACCAAGAGAAAGCAGAGATTTAGGGCACAAACCTGGGCTGGTCCGTGCAGAACTGTTAGGTTTGGTTCTGAAGTCTAAAGTCGAAATCTGAACCCACGATTGGCTCTGTGCCAGGAAGGAAGGAAGTCAGAGGAAGAGGTCTTTCCTTCCCAGTGTGGTTCTGTGAGTGAAACTGTCCCCTGATCGTTCTGCATAGTATGCGTGTCGCTTTAGGCAAGTAGAACCTGTGGGATTCTCCTCACACCTTCTAAGGTATTCTGAGCTCTGCTTTCCTGCTCTGTTTTCTCCAGTAGCCAGGTGCCCTTTCTCTTCTAGTATTTCCTCAAACTGTCATGAAAAAAAATCTCCTTAGTTTTTAGCACTAGAGTTTTTCTTTTAAAATTGTGCCTGTGATTTCAGTGTAGCCAGGAACAGCCAAGAATTGTGCTTGTCTTCCATCTGTAAGTGACTCCATTTGCTTAATATTTTACTATAAAGACAAGTATCTTGCACATTTAATTTCACTTTGCTAAAATTGTTTCTCTAAGGTGGTTGTTGGTAGTTTAAGAAACAGGAAAAGAAACAATTTCTAAGGTAATTTTCACATTATGGCAATGCATAACTTTATGAATCTGTGAGAAGAAAGTTGAAAGAATACCTTTTGACATATTATTTTTGTAGACTATGGAAAATTACTTCTTATTCTAGTAATCTTTTAAAATGACCTTTGTACTTTGGCTAAGCATACACATTAAAAAAAATAAAAAAAGAATAAAGAAAGATTATGTCCATAAGCTATTTGTGTTTGTGTATAATTTGGATCTATAGTCCAATTAGTTTGTCTTCCTCTTAGCTTTGAGGAGTCTGCTATAATAATACTTACTTATTTTTTCCCCCAAAGCAGATTTGGTCAAATGTTAATATCAGTATATTTTGACTCCCATACAGTGAAATGTAAATTTCAAAATTTTTCACTAAATAAAGGGGATGGCATATCCACTTGGTGAGATAAAGCTTTCTTGAGATGGACAGGAAATATAGATGAGTAAGTATGTCCCCTCTACTTAAATAAATAACCTAAGATCATAAAAACAGATCCAAAACCAAGAGGACAGAGAGTAGTGTATGGGGAGAGGTGTATAGGCACACCCATGTAGGGTCTAAGCCAAGAGTGACTAGCAGAGTCAGATTTTAAATTTCACTATAATAGTTTCACTCTTAAGTTCTTCTGAGTGTAGAACATCTTTCTGATTGTAAGAGTTCAGAGTTAACCATGTTGATGGTAAGAAATGTGTGAAAGAAAAATAAGAACCTAAGAAGGCACAAGGACTGGAAATGTAGATATGGTTAATGAAGAGATGCCCTCCTTGGCCAGAGAGGTCTTTGCTGATAGTCCTTGTCCTGTCCTCTTCCCCTCTTGCCAACAGTTTCTATAGCCTGCTTTATTTTCCTTCACTGTTATATGACATTTGATTGTTCCTATTTTATTATTACATTAGCATTTTCTTATTCCATCAGATTTAAACCCTATGAGAAAACGACGTGTTTCCATTTATTCTTGTTTCCTCAGTTTTTAAAATGATTTTGACTGCATAGCCAATAAGTCAATAAATGTTTGTGTGATGAAAACAATAAGCCGAGGAAATTCATTATCCGAAGAAGTCTTTAAAAACCTGCCCCAAACACCCGTCTAAGGCTTGTGTTGCCTAAGTAATGCTTCTGGTGTGGGGTCGTCCAGTCTGTGTTCTTGTGCTCATTCATGTGTCCGAGTAGTGGGGAACAACTTTCCCTGAGACTTTGTTCCGTCCTCAGGAAACATCAGCTGAGTATGCCTGTGCTCCTAGAATGCGCACTCAAGATCCTGTCTTGAAAAAAAGAAAGGGGGGAAGGGGAGAAGGAAGGAGAGGGAGATGAAAAGAAGGAAGAGAAGAGAAAAAGGGAGGAAAGGGAAAGAAAACTGGACCATTAAAAGTCTCTGATTTGGGGCCCTGTCTGGGTCCATGGTCCTTCTGCAGTCTGTGCTGATGTCCATGGCCAGTGTTACCACCAAAGGCCATGTGGATGTCCATGGTTCATGCTGTCTCCAGAAACCATGTGTGTAAGTCCGTGGTCCATGCTCACACTGACTGTAAAGGGCAAGGAAGCTACTTCTGCCATGGTACTGACGACTGCAGACTCACAGTTGAGAAAGAGGGATGCAGAAGGCTTCTGTGACAACCTCTCCCCCAGGAGAAAAAAAAACAACAGCCTAGACAGAAAGCCATCAAAGAGAGCTCTTAAAAACTGTGATAAGAAGGATGCTGAAGTGTAGGCCTCCACAACTGACGGCTTCTGGCAGAGGTGCAGGTAGGAAAGACTCAGTTTTCTTTAAGGGGCTGGCCACTAGGAGTTGGTCCAAGTTCCAGTGAGGATATGGACAACACCAATTGGAGTATTTTTTCCCTTGGGGGGAGTCCTCAGGGTGGGGGGCAGATTTGGGAGGACTGGCAAGTGAGTGTGCTTGGGGTCCATGATACGAAATTCTTAAATCAATAAAATATGAAAAAAGTCGGATTTTTAAAACCCTATTTTGTATCTTGAGATATTAGAGAATGGTCATAACTATTCTCCCATGTGACTGTCTTTAACATTATTTGGATACCATTAGTCTCTCTGTCCTTTTTATATTAGCCTTAAATCTCTTCCATTATTTCCAGTACCAAGGTATGGTCCTCATTGTGTGTTAATGCATGACTATGTACTCCATGAGCCCAAGGGTAGGTAATTCAGGAGTATGTCAACACGCTGCAGCAAAAACTATTACGTGTGGTCACAGTGTGAATCCTTGTGAGACAGTGTCCCTTTTCTCTCCCCAAAGGACTGAGTTTTGACCCAGATTCTCTGTCCTGCACATTTGGGGGTGTGGATGAGTAGGTAGGCAAGCATATTTTTCACTACACGTATGTCCCTTATTCTTATTTGGCAGTAATAGCAAAACCTTCATTTTCAAGTTGTCATTTTACCAGTTATTAAAGCCAGGCCAGCTTTTGGGGGTTGGATCTAATGAAAAGATCTCTTCTGTTTCTAATTACTCATCTCAGAATGCGTCACAAGACATCTGTGGCATTCAAAAGCAAATCCAGTGTTCCAGGTGTGGTTTAATCCACACAATTCCAGATTTGGATTATCACCTCTTTTGTTAAACGAAGGCTGCCTAACATCTAATCTGCTTTTTTGGATAATCCACCTCTCCTGTGACTCATTTTGCCTTTGCCCTCCACGGTTACTGTCTGAGTCATTTTAATACATGATAAATAGTAACTTCCTTGTCCTAAGTCGATGCCTCTGGCCTTTTCATTTGGGGAACAAATATAAAGACTTTTTACTGTTAAGCTTATTCCATTGTTCCTGTTTGTCACGATCTTTTATTCCATTGCTGTCACCTGCTGTCGTAGTTTGGGGTTGTAACTTTGCCATCCTGGTTGCCCGGTGCCCTTCATGGGAATGTGCAAACCATGCCTGACAACCAGCTCTTCTTGAGTCAATAGTAAATAATTGTACTAGACAGGGCCGACGGTGGTGCACATTTGCCTCCCTTCCAGTTTACATTTTACCCAGCTTTCAGTACCTGAGGACACCATGGCTTAACCCATTATTGACCTTTGCCTCTAGCACA